TAGATCTGTTGCAGAGCCTGCATGCCCTCCACCCAGGTGCCCTTCAAGTATGGACCACAGCCTGGAGGAACTGGCCATGCAGCCACTAGCCCCTTTCCAGTGCTCTTTTGCCTGAAAACCCAGTTGCTCCTCCCCATTTGGTGACACTCCATGCGAGTCATTTCACATCAGGAAATCTCTGCACGTGCATAGGAAAAACACAATGGCTTTAACAGATTTTCTCTCTCCTGTCCATTCCTTCTGTGGGACCCTTTCTTATCCTACCATCTGTTTTCATTACGGAGGAAGTAATTACCTTTGATACAGCTATCATTCTGTTAAGATACTGATCAAGTTCAGCTATGTTTAAGAAGCTAATAGGAAGGCTGACTGAGAGGCAAACAGCAATTTCCTTGGGAAAAGGATAACCAGTTTTCCTTAGGAAAATTATGCCAATGGGAATTGCAAGGCATTCCAGTTTGGTATTAGCATGCAGAGACTATTAATCGCTCATGTGGAGATAACTAAACAGTGCATTATTAAACACTTCTTTACCAGGCAGACTATCTTTAAATACATCTATTTCGCTACATACAACCCTCTGCCCACATCCAGTTGCTTCTGTAAACCTTCAGGGAAGACAGGGCTGGCATCTTCAGTAAGCCAAGCAACCGATCACAGTCCCTGGAACAGGCTTGTCCACCCACGAGCGCTGCACAGACATCTGAGACTCACATGGCTGTACAGGTATACCATGTCTGGATTAAAAGCCATACCCACCCACTGTATGTGGTGGGGGCTAACACAGTCTGTGCCAAGAACTGGGCTGATCTGTATGCTTATAAAGACAGTACTGCAAGCCTTGCACAGCTGCAGAACAGGTGCTTAAAGGTCATTATGGCACAAGATTCAGGTGACATACATCAGGCAGAGAAGCATGGACAAGGACAGTCACTGGGCAGTCCTCAAAGCAGGACTTCTTTACTACCTGGATTTTGCTTATGCATGAATCTTCAGCTCAAGCTCATTCCCATTTGGGAAGTGGGTTTGCTCCCTGCCTTTCAGAGGCACGGCTCTGTTAAGGACACCCACAGTCCATGTGAATTTCTCAGCTTGGGTCTTTTGATGTGGCTGGTATTTTACAGAGACAGAATCACTGGGTTTGCCTGTCATTAATAATACATCTATCCTGTGATGAACAAGAACACTGTGATAGCCAAAAAAAGAAAAGCAAGAGAGAAGTCCACTTCTATTTCAACTGCCTGAAAAAACACCTTCCTACATGTGGGTATATTGCAGATAGAGAGAATCCAGCCTTTGAACTGTAACTGGCATAAATCTTTCTCCTCTGATCATCCCCCCTCTGACTCATGAATCTCCATCTACCAAGAAATGAGCACATAGCTCTCTCAAAGCACAGCATGCACCTAGAAAGGAGGCAAAATTAAAGGAGAGAAGAGAGACAAATTATGTGGGAGCCCATTTCCTTAATGAATGGAACACATTTCACTACTTATCCATTTCACTGAATATCAATAAATAACAGGAATAAGCAACAGACTTGAATAAAACATGGATGAATTTAAGTTTAATGCAAGTAAAGTGTCTTATAGTAAGTCTGGATTGAGAAAGATGTTGAAGAGGGTGGTTTTCAGAGACTGCTTACCTCCCCCTCTGACTTTCAGACATCACATATTAGCTTACGTAGCTACAGCTGAGCTTTGGTGCTGCTCAGAGAGCATCAACAGAGAGGAAGTGAAGGAGTCCTGCAGGTCCTGCATGTCTGTCATGTGGCTGCAGATGAGCTGTTGGGGCTTTTGCAATGACTTAGGTAAAGTAGGAGAAAAGGCAGCTCGTACCCCTTACTCCCACTGATGCCACCTTGACCCACACATGGTTGAGGCTCATGAGCTGACCCCCAGCACATGCTGCTGTGACTGAAGTTTTTGCATTTGGAGCACTGTAGTTTCACCTCTATGTTGTAGCCCAAGTGGCCAGTCATTGGCATGAGCAAGAGTTTACATCACACACAAGCAAACCAGAGATACAGGAAGATTAGCTGCCAGCGTGATTTAAAGCTCCCAAAGCAGAAAAGGAAAGCAAAGCAAACTGTCCTTGGAAAAACAAAGAAACTTTGCACCTGGCATAGGAAAAGCAGCTATTAAGGTAAGCAGAGGTGTTACCAGCCTCAAGCTAAAAGCTGGGAATATTTCAAAAGGTTTCAAAATAAGCCACCATGCAAATCTTGAGCTTAAAAACACTGTGACCTTGAAGGAACTGCCTTTCTGGTTCCCTGGCCCTGGACCAGGATGGAAGGTCTCAGATAAGCATCTCCATTCTTCCCTGAACATCTCAGTCACCTTGTACCATGGAATCCCACCTGACACAAGACCCAGTGCAGCCACTACATAGCATAAGCACAACCACAGTCATATAAACCAACGCAGTGTCCCAGGTCTTCAGAATAACATTCCATCTCTCCCATACATCAAAAACAAATGAGTCTAGAAGAAACCATAAAATCAGCGAGGTTGGAAAAGACCTTCAAGATCATGAAGTCCAACCATTACCCCAGGACTGGCACGTCTATTATATACATTGTATATACACAATACAAAAATTGTATGAGAAAAATAATTGTATAAAAAAATATAATAAGTGTATCAGAACACTTCTTAATTATGAAGAGATCATGCACTACACTTATTTGGGGTGCAGAGAAGGGGTTGGTGTCATTTGGCTGTTGCTTCACAACTTAAAGATGGATTACTATTGCAGGGAAAATATGTCTGAAATGACTGAAATAACCACATTCCTCCTTTTATGTTTAAATGTGTTTCAAGCTCATATCTCAATGCTGAACAAAACTGAACATTGATCTCTTCTTAATTTTCCAAGCTACAGAACAGCAAGTACTGCACAGTAGAAAACAAGAGCTAATACAAGAGGTGGCAACTGGGATTTCATGCTGCTCATGTGTATTCACATAAAAGGATATGCAATTAGAAGGAAGTGTGACTCATTTGACACTGGAGAGACATCTTTTTAACTATGCATGAAAGGGATCATATTGCCACACACTGCTCTAACAGCACCGAATCACAAGCAGTAAGGGACACGCTGAATTTTACAGTTCATAGCAGTCATGTTCAAAAACAAGGCCTGGTTCTTCTCTCTGCAAAATCAGTTCAAACAAGGCCAACACTGGCCCTCAAACCCTCTGAGGTTCAGCCACTCAGACACGCCAGTCTCACTCTGTCAAAGAATTAGGTGAAGGTCATGACCCACAAAAGACCCTGATGAATCAATCATGCAACCCATGGTACAAAAGATGCTACAGCCTCCTAAGCCCTAGTTAGCACCAAGACATCAACAAGACCCCAAACTGAGTAAGAACACTGCAGTGTTTTCATTTTCTGATGTCTTCAGACAGTAATTGCAATGTACTCTCCTATCTTCTGCTCCTCTGCATAGCTCAAACACACATGGGACTTCCTTTCTTTATAGAACTAGACAGTTTCAATTTACTCTGTAATGACAATTTGTTTGGATTTCCAGCTATAAAAGCCCCCACAAAATGCCACATCATACAGTAATGCATATACTGATGAAAAGGTTCAGTCATGTCTGTAAAGCCTTTTAAACTGCATTAACAAAACTATTTTGCTACATTACATTTTCCAACTCATCAGGCCTCATGCCACATACAAGAGCACTTCTTCCAAGACTCACCCCTATCCACATAATCAAATCATGCCATTTGGAACACTGTAATTTTTGTCATATATTTTGTCATATAAAATGGTTGAAATTATCTTGACTATATAATATATAATGTTATGAGAAATGAAAGCTGAAGAAGAGTTAGACTTCTTGAAATGGTAGATCTGAAATAGCAGAGACACAAAGTGTTCAAAAGCCATCAAATACCACAGGTCAGGTCATCATAAAAGAAGGATACAGGTTCTGAAACACTTGTGCTGAGTCATTTCAATGGAAACATTAAAAAATGAAAATGCACTATGGAATTACAAGATTTATTTACACAGACTGATGTAAACTCACTTTCTGGTTAATGTGTTTTTAAATGGCAAGCAGTATAAACAAAGTATCTTAAATTACTACCTAATATAATGACTTAAATAAGTACCTTCAAAATAATGATTATATGAAGACTGAAATAAGAATGACAGACTGAGGTACAAGTAAAAATCACTGTAGTCAGAGAGATTTATCCAAAGCAAACCCCATTTTACACTTGCACACATGTGCATTTAGTATAAAAGAAAACAGAGCATGGTTTTTCAAACAGAACAACAAAGCTCAAAACCACTTGGAAAAGAAATCAATTCTACCACTCTGCTATTGCTACGACATCAGCTTCCACATTATGGTCAAGGATCCACTGCATGCACACAGCTTCTCTTTTCCACCTCATTCTGAGAAAACTGTTTTCAGAAAACATGCCTCCAAGAAACATTTGACAACTGTACATCCATATGACTAATAAACAAGAAAAAAACCCAGCAAGAAATACATCACACACTTTACAACACCAGCAATCACTTGCAAGCCCCTGGCCAAAACCCTTCTCCTTGACAGAATAAATTAGTGCTAGATTCTTCTCAAGACATTACATCAACAGAAGTTTTAGCTTTCCCTTGCATCAATAAAGCTAATCATCAGATCTAAAGCACAAGTCTTCATCACTAAAACACTTTCAAATGAAACAATACCAGCCTTCAAAGACATTTTCATATAACAAGCTGTCTTTCTTGACAGTTCTGGCTAGCTACAGACTTCATATTTGCCTAGACCATAATCACTTGAGAAGGCTAACCAAAGATGAGTCCAGCCAGTATTACTTACAGACCTCGTTCTTTCAGTCTCGTTCAGTACAAAGATATGCAGCATGGCAGAATCCTCTAGTATCTATATCTCCCACCAAACCGACACTGCATACCTCATCGTAAAACAATAACCTCTCGAGGATAAACAAAGTAAACTCGTGTCAGTCAGACCTGAAAGATGTTTTCACCAGTGCTTCAGGACTGTCTACAGGTGGTAGTTCATCCGCTAGGATTTCTTCAGGAGGTCTAGGGTCATTGATGATGGTCGGCTTTGGCCTTTCCTTGAGGTTGCCAGTCAGCCCATCGATAATGGTGTTCCACAAGCAGTTTTGTGATTTAGAACCTGCAAAACCAGAGTGAAAAGGAAAATAAATTCATAAGCCTATCATCAGTCTGTCAGCAGTCTGGAAAACAGAGACGGTCTTGTCTTTTTGCTTTTGCATCACTGCAGTTTGAGCTTAAGCCTGAAAGCCTGAAATAAAGCTGAAAGTGGAAGCCAGCACCAACATTCAGGTCACTCCAAATCTAAGACTGTATTGCTTCCCATAAAAATATTTGATTACAGAAGATGGAGTTTTCACATCTCAATAAAAAACATCCTCTCCACATTAGATGTATATTATAGCTTAGCATGTATTGCTGTGGCTGCACTGTAAGATGAAGAGCTGATCAAATACTGAAGTATCAAATCTATACAATATTTATTAATCGATTTTTCTTAGACTAGAGTCAATAGTGGTTAAATTATAAAGCTATTGCTGAAGGACTGAAAACATACTTCTGTCGAAACATCAACTTTCTCAGTAGACATTCACATGCCCAAATCTTTCTACCGATTATCTTTTTTACATTTATTTACAAGGGTCAGCAAGTGCCTCTTGCACATCACTCAGAGAACCCATCCTCACCTGTAAGTCTAATTCCACTGACAGAGTACAATTAGCATCCTTCAGTCACATCTCCTCCCCACCTTTGGGGAAGAGAATATGTGATGTACTTCTTAAAATTGATGTATTTGTTTCGTATTTTCAACAATTTCCAATAGCTTCTGAATAAATGAGGCAGTTCTGAAAATCCCAGTGACACTACCACACTGAACACCTGTGGCACATTCTCACTAAAGAGAGCATTACATTATGGAATATACAGGGGTGAGTCAACAGATCCTGAGACGAGCAGCTCAGTACTGAAATACTGATCATTTCAACTAACAGACTTCCCACAACAGAAGTGCAGCAAGCATTAGTCTTACTAGACTTTTGAAGTACAAAGACATACTAGCTCTGTTAGTAGGCATTCTCCATGGGCTTTTTGTCAATATACAAAAGGGGGGGGGGAATAAATCTGGTAAATTGGATATTTCTGTAACCAGCAACTGATTTTTATAAAACACTGCACAGATAAGATCTTCAAATATTTTCCCAGCATTCAGATTGAATTATCCAACAGAGACAACTAAGCAGCAAGTAGGAGACCACACACATGGATTAATAAGGCTAACTTTTGTTGCAGCATACACTAAGTACATAAGAGGAAGCCAAATAGAAGAACTGCTATGCAATCTCTCCTGAGAATATGTCATGAGGAACTACTCTGTGAGAACCTGATGCTTCTGATCCTGTTGATGCTGATGCTCCAGACAGGTGAAGGCAACCTTATTTTCTGGTTGTCCTAAATGTCTTGTTTTCACATTGCCTACATAGTGCAAAGACAGAAGACCTGGAAGATGCTACCTATCTCCTCCATTCCAAAATAATTTTCAGACTATTTCACAGCTAAGCAGGAAAGCTTCATACTCATAGGCTTCTCCAGAAAACCATGCAACATCAACATATATTTATCATTCAAGGGCTTGAGATGTTATGGCAACAGACTCACAGACTGGTTTGGGTTGGAAGGGACCTCAAACATCAGCTAGTTCTAACCCCCTGCCACAGGCAGGGGCACCTTTCACTACAGCAGGTTGCTCCAAGCCCCTTAGAGCCTGGCCTTAAACACAGACAGGGATGAGGCAGCCAAAGTTTCTCTGGGCAACTACACATGCTGTCACTACATGTCCTTGCAAAACGCCTCCCCCTCCAGGTTTCTTATAGCCCCTTTAGGCACTGGAGCTGCTCTAAGGTCTCCCCTTAAGGAGCCTTCTCTTTTCCAGGCTGAACCAGCCCAGCTCTCTCAGCCTGGCTCCAGAGCAGAGCTGCTCCAGCCCTCACAGCATCTCCATGGCTTCCTCTGGACTCATTCCATCAGCTCCACATCCCTCTTGTGCTGTTGCCCCACAGCTGGACACAGGACTGCAGGGGGGTCTCACCAGAGCAGAGTAGGGGGGAGAGAGAATACCTTCCTTTGACCTGCTGGTCATGCTCCTTTTGATGCAGCCCAGCAGACAGCTGGACTGTAACCACACACTGCCAGATCATGGTGAGATTTGTTCTTTAAACCACCACCCAAATTTCCCAAGTTTCTTACTTTTATTCGAGAAGGTAAGCATTTGTTTCCCAATTCTATAAGGGGAAATACAAAAGGTGTAAGAGTTTTAAGTTATCTGACCATACCGGCCACTTGTGATAGAGCCAAAAAGATTGGAATACCCTGCAATATGTTGAGGGGACTCTTTCTTTTGAAGAGTGCTCAGCACAGTTGGAAACAGAAGTTTACCCATCAAGAAAGAAAAATCAGCTGTCAACCAGCCATGTACACTAAAGCAGGAGAGCAGGATATCAACACTTACAGGAACAAGCTGCTGAGGGCTATTAAAATCATATTGTGTTGAAAAGAGGCTCTCTGAAGCAATTTCAAATGGTGAGATTTTCCCCTGAAATCACTGCAAGGAGTCTGCTGAGCTTCCTATACCACCACCTCCTCCCTGTTTCCTCAGCTGTACCCTTTCTTTTATTCCACAAGCCGTCCAGCTTGTCGTGCACAGGACAACTCTATGGTGCAGGAAAAAGACACATTAGCCTTTCTCTACACTTAGTAGAGGCAAGTAGCTCACTGTTTGCACTTCCACTGAAAACCAATAGTGGCAGGTTAACTAATTGCCACTGAGAAAACCATATAATGACTCACATGGAACCTTTTCTTCCTTTCTTTTTTCTTAAGAAAAAAATGCAAGAAAATCAAACACTTGTTTCAGCACATACAGTTGTTTTCCTGTGTTCTCTGCACCTACACCCATACCTCTTCCTCTCAACTGGGTATCCATCCAGCTAAGCTGTAGGCACAGATCTACTTGGCTTTTACAAAGATCAACAGCAGCCATGGTGTGTGCCATGCCCATCTGATCAGTGTTCAGCCTGCCCTCAGCTATGCTCAGCTGAGGGGAATTAGGCAAATAATTGTTTTACTTACCAGGTCTGACTGAGCTGACACAAGCCAGGAGCTTCCAGCTGCCTGAAAAGCTGAAAGCCTGATGAATTTACACCTCCACAAACTGATGGCACCATGGTACTCGTAGCAAGATGACATAGTGAGATACCAGGCACATTAACTGCTGCTAAAGGCAGGAGCACCCTCTTAAATTCAAAGTCTCCTAAATGGACTGGAATTTGCCATTTAGGAGCACAGGAGATTGGGTTACCCTAACATTGGAATCAATAACACTTAATTTTAATTTCAAATCCTTGTGAATAGGTGTAAACATTTGCAAAAATGCTTCTCCCTGATTTTACTGTCAAAGATGATTAAAGCTGAGCTAGAGGCAAAAGCAAAATAGGTCTAGGTGCTACAATTTAGAAAACAGAACTCTGCTTAAAGAATCTGTGAGTAGGTGTTCAAATACCTTCATCATACAGCCTGAATATATCTTTGGCTGAAAGCCACCAATAACTATACAGCTACCATTCCCATTGCCTCACTTAACAACACCAGCAGCCTTTCCCTCCTTGTGCATGAACTAAAGGGGAAACAACTACATGCTCCAGAAAGCTCCAAACAACAGTCAGGATGGACAAGGCCCATGTGGCTTTCAGCAGGTGATGTCCGGTTGCCTGCACAGGTAAATAAGGTCAGCCAAAATGAGTATGGTTTGTTAAGCGTTCAATGACACCCCAACTGGGATCCCACAGAAATCTCTGAAGGTTCTACTACTGAGTGTAACAGTAAAGCACAGCCACTGCACAGCAATGGAAATCCTGCTCTCTGTTGTGAAGATGAAGTTAATAATTGCCTCCGAATTAATCATTCAAGTGAATGCAAAAGGCACAACCCAGGAAGGTACCCAGTCTCTGGTTTGTGACTCAGACACAAGGCTAAAAACAATAATCCTCTACGACTCAGTTACTGCTTGAATCCTTGTCCTCAAATGCTGCAGCTTTTCCTGACCTTCTGTCAGGATGTTTCTGAATGCCCGATCTGCACTCTGCTGTTTGATCAGTGAAACATGGTGTGGTAGAGTAGGTTATAGTACTCTCAGCCCAGACATGGGCATCACGTTAGCACAGCACATGCCTCAGACATTTCTCTCCATAACACAGTTCTCATTCTAATTTTCCTTCCCACTGCCACAGAGCTGTCACCTTACACCATTCATGACTGCTCAGTCATCATTAATGATACCCTATGAGAAACTAGCCGGATCCTTAAACCCTTAACCTGACTCCTAGATCACTAAATTTAACTCCTAACAGTGAAGGTGTGGTTTACACTTTGAATTATCTCCCTTCATCCCTATGTTATGCCTCTGTGACTATCTCCCAATCAGGCTTATCTAAGTGCTCCTCTCTGCATTGCACTCCTGTTACTCTCAAATAGCCTTGATCTCACCTCCACACTTAATCCCATGCAGCACTGGGTCATACAACAAGGCCTTACAAGGGGGTTTCCTGTGCTTTCATTCAGTTGATAGCCATGCGCTGGTCTGTTCTCTTCCATGTAATGCCAGGCACCCCTAACTCTGCAAATAAGGCTTGGCTGCATGCTTGTGAGTCAAGATTATCAAACAAGAACAGACCCTGGTTGTTGCTGGGTCTCAGGGCTGCACCCTATACACATTCACCAAAAATCAAGTTCTTATGGATGTCAGAATCAGAATTGGAAAGCCAGCTTAGTTTCAAATGTCATGACATTATGCTTGACCCACTTGTTAGGCAGTATTGCAGCATGAAGGCCTTGTAACCCAAACGTTCAGGAGTACACAGTACTTGGGCTGAATCTTCTGTGTACCTAGTACTCAGGAGCCAATGGACAAAAAGCTGGTGATAATAAATTTGAAAGTGTTTGCAGTTACAACTACATTTTTATCCTCTGTGATTTCTTTTGCCATATGAATTTTGGGGGCTGAACCAGGCAGGACCAGACCCTTTTTAAGCTTTACTGTCTACAACATGAAGGAAAATAAGGAACTAAATAAGGAATGACAGTACAATTTTCTCTCAGTTGTCTCCACTCTGCTCCATCCCATTGTAATTCACTACATGCAACAGATTTCATAGCCACACAAGTTCCTTCTGCATCATGCACCTTAGCTACCTATGTGAGGTATGGCATGCTCAGAGTGCCATCCTGTGACTGTATGAAATACTGCACCATAGATGGAAACCGGTGTTTTGATCTGCAGCATCCACGATGATGGCAACTGACATCATGGACAAAGGGATTTTTCCCCACTAAGTGGTCACAGATCATCATGAAACTGTGCATGCATTAAGAGCAGGATTTCCTATCTTTGCCCTCAGTCCTACATACTTAGTTACATGCATCTTTAATAATTCATATGGTCAAAAGTCATGGCCAGTTGGTGCTACATTACCAGCTGCATCCCTTCATTTTCTTCAAACCTGGGTCGCTTATTCCAAATCCCAAGCCATACCTTTAGTTCCTAACTTTACTGTGTGAAGCAAAAAGTGATGGAGGAGCTATCAGTAAGGTTTCCCTTTTTCATATGCTACTTCAAAGACTTGACTCAAACCTCTTTATAGCCACTACAGTCAAGCTCATTTGACTTTGTGACACATTGTTATAACTTCTTATTCTTGAAACAACAGTAAGGCCACAAAGCCTTCCATACTTTGGATTTGCATCACCTCTGTTCAACAAGACAACTTCTGTAATTGACTTTTCCAACTAAGTACAGTGAACTGCAATAACAGGGCAGCCAGAATATAAGATTAGAAGACTTATTAAATGTGTTTTCTACAGTAGCTACAGAAATCAACCAGTTTAAAGAAGAAAAGCTACTTACGGGCAAACCGGGAGAGCAGTCGTGCATTTTTGTCACCTGTCTCATTCGCAACTGAAAGGAGAAAATACAGAGAAATAAAAAGCATTACATTTAAATGTTACATTAAGATTAACGATAGTACCAATTCCCACGCATAGGAAGAATAACAGCAGTTAGATATATAGGTACAGGTATATACACACATAAATACTTTGTTTAATGCCACCAAATACATTACTTTGCATGTTTGTCCATCTGTTGGTTCAGCTTGGCTTTCAGAGTCAGTAGGGCACCTGCAAACCTTGCCCTGCCCACATAAAAATGAATGATGTAATTGCCCAACATTCAAGCACTAGCCCTTAATGGTACATAGCAATACATGATTGCAGTCATACCCTTACAAATCCTATTTTATGTTGGATTTTTTCCCAAGTCCTAAATAAAACATAATTTTTCCCATTTGCATTAGTGAGTACAGCAAGAAAAAAGTAAGATTATTCCACCTAAATAGAGAAATGCACTAGCAATTTTGGAAGCCCAGAGAATCATTTGATAGCAAATTAAATGAAATTCAAGGATCTGTGCAAAGAAATCTTCTGACATTTGGAACTGCATACAGACATCACAAAGGACAAAACCAACCCCATACAAAACCTGCTTTTTTCTGCCTCAGACTCATACTGGCATAGCTCAAGAGTTCTGTGACCCAGCAGCATGCAGTCAGTCGAGAGCATAAACAACTCTTTGGGGTTTTCACAATATTAAACTCAGCTGAAAAAAGAGTGTTATCAGAAAGAGGAATTACCATCCATGACTTTCTTTTTTGTAGCTATAATAATGATGAGGAACAGCATTGATGGGCACATAGGGAGGAGGCCAGGTTGGACAAGGCGTGGGTCTAGTGGAAGGTGGCCCTGCCAGTGGCTGGGGGCTAGAACTGGATGAGCTTTAAGGTCCCTTCCAACCCAAACCATTGTCTAATTCTAAGTGCATACAGAAACCTTTGCTTTCTTTCACAATGCTGTTTTTTAGAGACAAGACCAACCAAGCTACGAAATCCCAAAGGATGCAAAATATGACCAGAACCAAGACTCGTAGATTCCTATCTAAATAATTTAACCAAAAAAAAACCTGACTTCTGAAGCCAAAAAAGACTTTTGATGAAATTTAATTCTTCTGACAAATCTTAAGGTTGTGGGTTTAAGTTTGACTTTATTTAAGAGCCATATCCATTGTCACTCCAGCTTTCCCGCCTTGCTCTCCAATCTTTACCTGGTGTTAAGGTGGCTCTAGCACTTGCTTTAGCGAACAGAGACATATCTAACAAATCACTGCCTCATTTTGCTCCCATTAGCCAGTAGATGGTGCCCTTAAAACACTGGTGCCTCTCTATCAGGCCTGGGGAACTAAACGGAGAAGGAGCCTTCGAGGCCCCCCTGGTCCTACAAAACACCCTTCCTTGACTTGAGTACATCCCAGGTACCTGCAGCACAGACCCCAGCCAAATAAGCTCTCCCGGGATATCGTGTGCAGAGACATCGGAGTGACTGCACAGTTATGCAGGTCCTGAGCAGTGCATAGTCTGAGAGTCAAATCTGGCTCTACATGAGGTGATGGCATGGTGGAGAGGCAGCAGCATTCTTCATGGGGCAGGGATCTAAACAGTTGGACCCAATGAAATCAAGAACCATGCCAGAAAACACTGCAAAGGTCAAGCAGCCAGTCTTTGTCCTTAACTCAGTGATGACTGCTTGAATGGGATAAGCAGAGAGATCACCTACAGGGTTGGTCCCTTTTGTGGTCTTACGTACTTCTCCATATCACAGCAGAGCCTGGGCAAATTCCTAGTATGTACTGATGTTCAAATTGGGGCATCAAGTGAACTATTAGACCAAAGAGGAAAGAGCCTGCTAAGGGTCTTTTAACTGCACTATTAAGTATATCCTCCACTCTGGTGGCAGATGGCACTCCCTGGTCACCAGGGGCTTCAGGTACACACAGGGTTTCCCCTTTGTGCCACCCTCCAGCCGGATGCTGCAGCAAGAGCACTGCACCCAGCATCTGTGTTTGGGCAGCTCAGCTCCCACACCGGCAGCATCCAACAAAACAGGTGTTTTTAACCCCCTCAGAAATACGCCTTTTCCAACTCCAGGCTTTGCACGGGTTTGTTGTTGGTTGCCAGCACTTTCCAAACATCAGATGGTGTCACATACAGAGTAACACCCATCCATCTGCTACACAGCCATACAAACCAAAGGTGCAGGCAGAACAGTGTAGCAATGAGCAGGACAGAGAGCACTGTGGATGCTGAACCTGCATGCCTAGCAATAATCCTGGTACCAGCAAGCCAACTGCTGTCTGGGAATTGCTGTGGACCAAAGAGGCGAGATCTCAGGTTTGTTTGGCCCTGCAATCAAAAGCAGAAGGATTTAGAGGCAAAGAGCATGTCTGTGTTTGGTCTGAATGAAAATCCTGGAAGGTTTTACTTGATGCAGTTTTTTACTGTGGAAAACATATATATATATATATACATACAGACACACACAGCCGTCTTAATGGAGTCTTTGGAAAGACACAGAACTAACAGACCTATGTACATGATACATGCAAATGAGAAGACTTTTTCTCCAGATGGCCCCAAACCTTCTCAACCCTGTGTTTACTCAAGTTTAAAGTAATAAACTTTTGGCAGAAAGCAGGTACGGCAGGGGGTTGGAACTGGATGATCTTAAGGTGCTTTCCAACCCTAACTACTCTATGATTCTGTGAACTAATGAAGCTGGAAAAAGAAGCCAGATCTCTGAGGACACAAGTCACAATCCACACCAAAGATGAGTTCTGGTACTTCCAAAGATTTCCTGTACCACTGTGTCTTCATTATGCTTATTCTCCAGCTAAACTCTACCCTTGTATGCTGAAGTCCCAGCTGTTTCCCACCATTTTCTAATTATCTTTTTTTGTATACTAAACCACACACATGTGAAATTACTTTCCATTCTAACCTTGGTGAAGGGTATAGCAAAATGCAGGTAGCTTGTAACTCCTGTTCCTTCAGAAAGGCAGTTATGACAAGCAGGAGACTCCATCCCGTAATCATCATGTTAGACCAAAACACTCACGCACTGACGACACAGACAACAGTTTCCCCATTTCAATAGTGTTATGTTGTATCATAACTATGGAACTGTGTATCGTAACCTGGAACTCTCAAAAGCCTCTTGCTGCAATTATATCTTCAAAGCCATGATGAGTACTTTGATTAACATGGATCACTCACACGCAAGTTCACTGCTTCATATTTTAGTGTCTGCCTTGTTCAACCATTTACTCCAGCTTGCTACTTCTTCCTAACAGAAGGTATTGATTTCACCAGTCACCCCCTCAGCCAATTTAGCTTTCAAAGGTCCCTTGTTAAACTCTTAGTACAACGCAAAGAAAAACACAGCACTTTGTAGTATTGACTCATCAACACTGTCAGACATTAGCACATCGTCTATATTTTGTCATGAGAGTGAAAAAAGAAAGCCAGATATTTTTACCCACCATTAAATACATTGTTTCAAGAAGACGTTTTTTGCCTTTCTTCTAAAAAAAAAAGAAAAAAAAACAAACAACAATAAAAAACAACTGCACACTGCTAGTACATTTGTCAACATTCAGAAAAGGACATTAGATAAGGTGAACACAGATACGTAGGTAAATTTACACGGAATTATAAAATCATAGGATCATAGAAAAGGTTGGAAAAGGACATTAAGCTCATCCAGTCCAACCACTGCCCAGCACTGCCAAGGCCACCACTACCCCATGTCACTAAGGGCCTCATCTACACGGTGTGTCCACCACTGTTCTGGGCAGCCTGTTCCAATGCCTGAGCACCCTCTGGGGAAGAAACTGCTCTTCATCTCCATCTAAACCTCCCCTGGTGCAGCTTGAGGCCATTTCCTCTTGTCCCATTCCTTCTTCCCTGGGAGCAGAGCGCAGCCCCTCCTGGCTCCATCCTTCTATCAGGCAGTTGTAGAGAGTGATAAGGTGCCCCAGAGCCTTATCTTCTCCAGACTAAACTCCCCAGGTCCCTCAGCCACTCCTTCTCAGACCTGTGCTCTGAATAAACTCTTCTTCTTTTCTTTTTTTTCCTTTCCCACGCCACATATTTTGAACAGTACTCCTGCTTGCCCTAACATACAGTCTTCTGGTAATCATTTCCTTTAAAGCTCAGCCAACTGTGTCTGTCTAGTTTACACAGGCAAATCAAAGTGAGAGCCTTTCTGTAAAGTCTAGAGTTTTGCGCTCAAAGACGCTAAAGCCATTAGATGCCTTATAAACTTATCAAGCTCCATCTTCAAAGTAGCTGGGTTTTACGCTTACCTAGCTTTCGAGACTTTGCCAGAACCTGACTGCAGGATCAGTCATGACCTAACATTTAATTTGCATCAGTTTATATCAATTTGTTCTTGTGCCAGCAATTCCTCTAAGCTGAAGTATTTATTTTTTTCCTGGTGGTTAATCTGTCTGTGACTTGGGCACAGGAGGACTGAATTTCCCCTTTCCACCATCATTCCGTGGGCTAAACACATCATGATTATCTGGTTTTGCCTTAGAAAACAGGTATGTTCATACCCCTCCCCATCTTTATTAAGCCTCTTCAGTGTTGATTCATTTTCCCACAGGTACCACACGCAAACATTAAGATGCTTTATTCTTGCCTGGTTTCACATCAGTTGTGAGCTTTGACACCCCCTCATACAATTAACAGGCCCTTAGATTCTAGCAGAAGTTTTTGCTATTAAGTCCTCATCTGTATGATCTTTCAGTCCACACTCCCTAATTTCAGCCTTTGTTGTTAACCTAATCCTCTAGGTCACATGGATCTCATTATGAGATATTCAGATCCTCCCCTGTTCTGCTTTGTCTCAGTAGCAATTACCAGAGCTTTCCTTTTTTCTGGCTTGCAGTCATTAACAAAATTCCTATACAAGATCAATCCCACACAAGGATCTGAAGCACAACAGCACTGAAGGCAGGCTTTCCTGGTGGCTTCCGGACGCACAGAAGCTAAGGTTGCTCATAAG